GTTTAAAATAATCGTCGAAGTGTTGATAAGCCATAAAAAAAGTCAAAGAATCAATTTGAGAAAGGAATGAATCAGTTTTTCCCAAGGCGTATGTCTCCATTGTGAGAAACGTCTACGCCTCTTTCTAAATAGGTAAAGCACTCTGTGTTGTTTATCGCAACATCCAGGTAATCATTATTTGATAATCAATGTATTAATGAATGGGAAAGATTCGCTAGAATTAAAGCAGAGTGCTGAACTGATATGCAATATTAAAGTCTATTTTGCTAAAAATAGCCCACCTTGGGGCGTGTCTAAGTTGCAAATGATGTTTTTTTAATTATTTCACTCCAAGCAAGGTGATAATGTTTTTTTGTAATTATTTCACTCCAAGCAAGGTGATAATGTTTTTTTGTAATTATTTCACACCAAGCAAGTTGATAATGTTTTTTTTAATTTATTTCACACCAAGCAAGGTGACTTTTTTTATTTATTTCACATGAAGCAAGGTGATAATTTTTTATTTTCTTAATTCACACCCAGCAAGGAGATTACTTTTTTAAAATTATATTATTATTTTTGTTTTAATTATTTCACACCAAGCCAGGTGATAATTTTTTTTCAAATTATTTCACACCGAGCAAGAAGATTACTTTTTTTTTTAATTATTTCACACCCAGCAAGGTGATAATTTTTTTAAAAATTATTTCACACCAAGCAAGGTTTCCGGATGATTGTAAAAAAGGGAAGCACAAAAACCGGAAGGGATTTCCATAAGCAAGAAGTGCGAGAAAAGAAAATTATTAGAATAGACAATACGGTTGCATCTAGCTACTTCAAGAGTAAAACGGTGGGACCTAGATGCCAATCAAGTAGCAGGCTTAAATTCATGCAGTCGAGGCACGAAGGAAGAAAGCTCATCTGAACAATTGCGATGGAAACATTTGTAGAAAAAACATCAATATAATTGATTGATCAATATAACGGCCGTGGGAAATTGATTGAAGTCGAGATGCCAGGTCAGGATCGATAAGATTACAGACCCTTCTTAGGATTTTGTCTCAAATTTCGAGATAAGACATATTGCAAAAAACTCATTTACTAATCTTTGCCATTTTAACATTGCATGGATCAAACATACTACATTGAATAAACGTTTTAGAAAGTACAATTATTTCAGTGTATTTGCACAAAATCTGAACAATTTTAGAACCGCCATCAGCAATCTTTTGAAAACTTCGTCAACGTATGGCACCAAGAAACGATCAGGAAGGCCGTTGAAATTGGCCACTGCTAGTAGTTGCTTACTTCGAAAGACATCAAGAACAATTAAGAACACGAGAAACAAACTTATTAATATCGCTGCAAATTCCCAGTAATTTTTTTTAATGAACCTTGTTCTTTGTTCCAGGAATAGGCATCCCGCTTTGAATGACGCTCACAAAAAACGAGTCATATTTGATGAGAAAAAAGCGACTTCGACTAAACCTATTCGAAGAATTTGGTGTTCACTGACAAGAAGTTTAATTTAAATTGTCACAACGGAATGCAATGCAAATTTTCTGTTTAATGAAAGAATCATTTGCCAAAATTCATTGTAATTCGAAACAAGCAAAACGTTCAGCGTTATACAGGAGCGTTAAAGAAAATTCTCATCTCATTTTTCGACAGCCATTATGGAATAAATTTTGTATTTTAGCTGTCCACTATGCTAATCATCAAGGAATGTTTTGAACGCAAGGACATCAGTTTTAGATGCGATATGATTTATGAGTTTAGCTTCTAAACTCACCATGTCGCAATCTCACTGAGAACTTGAGATACATCATTTCAAAACCGGCACTGTCGACAGGACCAAGTATCCATCAGCTACTTCCCATCCAGAGGTGTAAGAGTTATCTAAAAAGCAGAGGGGGATACCTACCGGGTGGGAACTTACAGATTCGCGTACGAATGACCAATGTCTACTTAAGGATAAATCTAACACAACTCTTTCAAAACGTTTATATGAGAAAAGAACGCAATCATAAACGGGAAGTGGCTTAATCTCTTTCAAAAAGCGTTGTTGAATGGAAAGTCCGCCCAAATGCATATACAATCTTGTATTCGCTTGTTCTAAGTGTATTCAGGATTTACAGTCATAAGGAAATCGATATTTCTTTTATGAAATACAAAAATGTAGCACAAGCCCACAAGTGGGTAGGGAAAGGGTGATCTTTAATCTGTCTTAACTTAAATTTATCTAACTACGATTACTGAAACCCAAACATACCACAGTATTCCTTACACCAAAACAACACATTCTTACTTACCATTTTTACCACAGTCACCATAATACCTCAAGTCTCTATAGCGGAAAGTTCATCCGAACAATTACCATAAGATATTTATAGAAAAAGCACATGGAAAGTGACTGAAGCCGAGACACCAGGTCTGGACCAATATTATTGCTGACCCTTTTATTTTATCAAGAATCTCTAAATATATAGCAGGAATAATAAACCATATGTGACAGCTATATTCAAAGCCTGAACGATTGGTAGACTTATAAATATGTTAGAACCTGGAGTTAAAATCACCAAAGTTAAGCAATGTCGAGCATGTTCAGTACCTAGATGGATGACTGCTTGGGAATAACAGGTGCTGTAAGCTTGTATGCACGGGTGGTGTAATGGATAACAGCTCGAAAGGGGAATGTGTGAAGGCTGGTATTCAGTCTGTCTTATTTTAAACTTAGCTAGCCACAATTACTGACCTAAACATACCACTGTATTCTTTACACAAAAACAACACATTCTTGCTTACCATTTTTACTACAGTCACCATAATACCTCATGGTCTCTTTGAAGTCATCACTATTGGGTTGGTGCATAATTATCGGGCGTTTTTAAACAATATTTATTATGATAAAAAGAAATATAACGATAACATTTTAAGTAATTATTCCTGAGGCTAGTCACCATCTTCTTCATTTTTATAACCTGAAAAATAAAAATAAAATATTTTTATTAAAAAAGTAAGCAAAACAGCAATTTTTTATTAATAACTCGCCTACTAAAACCGCCTGATAATTATGCACCAATCTTATAGTTCCCGTATGTGCAATTTGTCTATGTGGAGGGGGAATACAAATACAATCCTTTAAAAATGATACCCCAATGAATATGTACAATGATTACAATTTTATATACAAGAAACTAAACAAAATTGTGTTAATAATAACACCCCCCCCAATCCTTAATGTGGCAGAAACATCAGTTTACTGGACGAGATTAATGTGGAACGACGTAATTAAATAACACTCATTCGATCAACCACTCACTCAAACACACATTCATTCAGACGCAAAAACAGACACGAAATATACACTCGAAAAACGAAAAGCTCCCCGCATCTACCAGAGAATTGACATCTCTGTCACCTAACGGGTGAGGGAAGGTGGAATTAAACTTAAAAAAAGTGGAGATAGAAATAAAAGAGGTCAATGAGCATACATCCCCTAGCTAATTAACTTGATAGAAAAAAAATAATGATAAAACAAATCTAAACAACCCTATTTTGGATGGAGTTGTCAATATTCAACACAAATTTCCCAATATGCTGCCACCTAACTGGCATCAAAATGCCATTCTAAGTTAGTTCCTTTCACTCAACAGATACTCACAAAACTCATCCACCTTTTGCCGAATTCCGATGGAGAGAGCCGTCGCTTTACAGTCAAAGGGAAAGCGTTGTAATTATTCATTTCTGTCCTTCGATATGAACCATTTAAAATTATAACGTCTGATACTTATTACTACTCTCGATACGTGGATATTCTTTTTAAATTTGCATATTACTGTATATTGAGAGACGCCCACTTAATGGCAACTTTACGCCCATACTCTTCCTTACTTAGACTTTATGAATTTAAACGCAGTACTAGACTGGCGCAGGGGTCTCAAATTTGTCATTTAGTTGGTTAAATGTAACATTAGTTCTGTGCTAACAGTTTCTTTTCTCGAACTTTTCGCTTGTGGAAATCCATTCTGTTGCTTTCTGACTAATAAATCATATGTATTTTATATTATAGAATAGATATTAGTACAAAAACATCTAGATTAATGACTTACCATAACTTAATGATTAGCAAGCTAATTCTACAGATCAATTTATTAGTGCAACGCATTCAATCCAAAAATCGTGCAATACTATTGTGGCTTTAATGTAGACGAGATTAACTTTTTTGTGGTGTCAACGAACACTCGTTTGACACTTTTGTGATGCCAACGAATACTCGATGTCATTTTCGTGATGCTCGTTGTAGTAGAGACTTTGTAATCGCAGATTACAACTATAGTAATGCTTTTGAACAATGCTGGTATCAGACGCCTTCATATAATCTCGCACTAATCGTACTTGCTTGATAATACTCGCTCATATAGTAACCCTTATAGTGAAATAGTATAGACAATAACGGTCCGTATAGTAATAGAGGAAAAACTAGAAATTGCGATCGTTAGCCGTCAGCTACTTCCTACATATATGCGTTTCCTCTATGGCCACATGGTGTACTTAATTCAATAATGGGATCGCCTGTGTTTACTCACTGGCGATCTATGTTCAAACTCGTCAGCAACACTTTGTTCCTATATAACAACTTTGATTTGAATAAAATATAGATTTCAAATGATTATTTTTCTTAAGTGTCTAATCAATTTTGAACGACGACATTATTTATATTTTTGGTAAAGAAGTCTCGATGTTGTAGAGTTTGATTATTAAGAACGCCTGATTATAACCATTTTGAATATACAATGATTCCCCAGTAATAATAAAAACTTGCTATTTTTGGTTTAGGTAAGAATTTGCTCTTAAGAAAGTCTGTTAGGAATGTACTAAAACTAATGGATCATACTAAATATACAGGATTAGTCAAAATTATGTTAACAATGGAATGGTAGAAATCATTTATTCACAAAACACACATCATATGTTCAAGATAAGTTACAGGACGGTCTGAACCTGTTCGCCTGCAAGGCTTATGGCCACATCACGTTGAAACACCGATTCCCGTACGATCAACTAAGTTAAGCTACGTTGAGCCTGGTCAGAACCTAGATGGGTGACCGCTTGGGAATACCAGGTGCTGTAGGCTTGGATGTGTGGGTGGTGTAATGGATAATAGTTCGGAAATGTTAATCGGAGAGCCGAGTTCCAATTCCCGCTGGCTTCGTTATATTTGTTAGACATTTTCATGACGGTCGTCCTCGAGTATAGAATCCAGAGGTTGGCAGTGAATATTTCGGAGACAGTAGGAAAGCGTAGTGCAGGTTCGCAGTGGATATCACAGCAGAGTGTAGTTCATCCTTCTCCTGGTCGCCTTTGGTCCTTCCGGTAGAGGAAACAAGATGGCCGCCTTTATACACGACGAATACAGTGTTGTGCGGCTTCTGATTGGTCAACCTTCTATTGGTCGACTATAAAGGGAAATAATTCATTCTGACTCGCTCACTAGTTATATACGCTATATACCCAAAAAACCGTAACAATATTCACTGACACGCAAATACCCTTTAAAAAGGTATAAATCCACCTCTTCCGCTCAGCTATGGGTTAATTAGCAAAGCCTCGTCCGTGTTCCTCTACGCCGAGGCGGAGAGTTTGACAGCAATAAACAGTCTGTGTGAATGTTCCCCAAGGCCTTTTCTCCTACTAATTTTATAGTCCAACACAGGTACTTTAAAGGGAGGACACCACAACACTTTCTATGCCTTCCAGTCGACTTTAATTTAATTTAAATGCAATGTCAATCGCTATCTACGATGCCCCTGATTTAGCTTCTTTTGTTCTCGCTAATTAGTAACGTTTCAGTTTCCCAATTCTTCCACATCCAGTAAATCCTTGTCTCTTAGTGGCTTTACTTTCTTGCTTGGTTTGAACTCGATTAAAACAAACAATTTAAATCGTTTTTCTTAAATAGCTGTCTGGTTTAAATAAGGATGCACACAAAACTTTTACAAATTTTCATATGTAACAAAGTGGGGTTAATCCTTTTGATCAACGTTAAAAATGTATAAATTAAAATTTCAATTATTTCCACTATTTTACATGGACAGATCGGGATAGAAGGGGGAATATAGAATAATAGATTTAGATATAAACAGAGAAACCGATAGACTGACAAATTGACAGCCAGATCGATTGGTCGATATCGTCATAGACAGATAGACAGATCGATTGTCAGGTCGATTGATAAATATAGACAGAACGAAGTAGATGTAGACAGAATTGATTAATAGATATCAGCAGGGAGAGATAGATATAGTCATGCAGCCTGACCAATAGATCTATTGATAAACACACAGACAGATCTATTGATAGGCATAAACAGAGCGATATATATATATATATATATATATATATATATATATATATAGATAGATAGATAGATAGATAGATAGATAGATAGATAGATAGACAGAAAACTGATAAATCTATCTAGTGAGAGAGAGAGAGAGAAAGAGAGAGATTGAAATAGAGATATATAGACAAACAGGTCCATAGACAGATCGATCGATAGCTATAAACAGAGATACATATAGAGAGACAGGCAGTGAGTGATAGATAGATAGATAGATAGATAGATAGATAGATAGATAGATAGAAAAAAGAAAGAGTAGGAGGGATAGATAGATAGATAGATAGATAGATAGATAGATAGATAGATAGATAGATAGAAAAAAGAAAGAGTAGGAGGGATAGATAGATAGATAGATAGATAGATAGATAGATAGATAGATAGAAAAAAGAAAGAGTAGGATGGGGATAGATAGATAGATAGATAGATAGATAGGTAGTGATTAAGATGCCTATAGACACACAGATCTATAGATAGATGGATCGATCGATAGATATAAACAGAGACACATATGGAGAGACAGGCAGACAGATTAATCTATTTACATATCTCTTTCTCTAGAGAGAGAGAGAGAGAGAGGGGGGGATAAGAGAGAAGAGGTAAGAGTGTGTGTGTGTGTGTGTGTGTGTGTGTGAGAGAGAGAGAGAGAGAGAGAGAGTGAGATAGCGATTGGGATAGACATAGATACACAGATCCATAGATAGATCGATAGAGAGATATAAACAGCGATACATATAGAGAGACTGGCAGACAGATCTATCTATCTATCTATTTATCTATCTATCTAGAGAGAGAGAGAGAGAGTGTGTGTGAGAGAGAAAGAGCAATTGAGATAGATATAGACAGACAAATCCATAGACAGCCCGATCGACAGCTGTAAACAGAGTAAGGTAGATATAAACTGATAAACCAATTGACAAATCGATTCAGATATAAACGGAATATAGACGAATACACACAGGCTGAGATAGACAAAGAGTATAATATAGCAGAGTATAAAAATATATTTACATACGTAAAGATAGCAAATGCGCAAATGTGTGTTATTGATTGTTGGGTAAAGTCGGTGGATTGTGCAGACAGTATTTTTAAAAGGCAATGACCGAAGAATAGTTTCCCAAAATCAGTGGATTAACGACTAATTTAGGCAGTATGTCAGTAATCCAATATATAAAGCTTAAAAAAAAACTCTGTTTGTTATCTTCCACTCGAAAACCTGAAAATTAATTAAATATATAAAGTTGGTTGTGCGTGTTTGCATGATTATACTAATGGTTACCTAATACAAAGTTCTAGACGTACAGGAATCTCATTAAAATGGTTATTATTTACATTGTTCGGACTATCATCCTCATCTTTGTTGCCATATTTATCACAACGTTTCAGCCGTTGTACGCTCCGGCCTTCTTCAGGTGGTTTAATGTCGAACTGAAACCCTTTATTTTGCTCGCTGGGGTAGACTGTTCTAGTTCCACGTGCCATATCTAATAGATGTCAGTTATCTCCTGTTAATTCGCCTCTTCAAGTTCTCCACCGCGTTAGCCAGGTATTGAACTCACACTCTTTGGGTCCTTTCACTGGATCTAACTAACGCCTTTATCCACTGTGTCATATGTTCTCAATACCTCAACTCGATGCAGAAAGAGCGATAACAGTTAGTGGCTTTAAGAAGCTTATTTTCCTGAAACAAACAATTTTACGAGAAAGCCTTTATGAATATCAAGCGACCAATACTCTAAATATTTCTTGTATGGGAACGGCTTTTTTTTTCACTGTTACATTTACTATAAATTATTGCTGTCATATCTTAGTTGCGCTGCACAATCTTCATTTTCCAGACGTGATAGAGTACAAAATCGTTAACGCGGTTTTGTCGGGAAAGCCTTCTCCCCCACCACAGACGCAACGTCACAAGCCTGTCACTACTCTGTCGCTATTTGTATATGGCAGATGTTCAGGTGAGCTCCATTCTTTAGTTCCCCCTGCTTTACTTCCCGGTCACGCCATGCGGCAAAACACTGAATTGAATTAACATCACATCCTCTGCATTCCAAATGTAAGTAAATTTCCTTCTTTTTCTCCACCTAAACACTGAAATTTTATTTGATATTTATATTTTATTTTATTTTTTTCCTCAATAGGAGTAGATAGGTTTGCCTATTGTCCGGTTCAATATAGTTTTTTTCCCCCTTGTTAACTGTTTAGGATTGTGTTTCCAGTATCTTCTAAAGTATTCTCATTCTCTTTGCCTCCAAGTAGTTCCTTGCATCTTAATGGCATTACAGACTTGCTTGAGGTGAATTGATTTTTAAAAAAAGTAGAGAAATTTCTGATAAATCAATCCTTCGTTTATCCGCAGAGAATACTTTCTTTCGAACAGAATCAGATGGAAAGCTCTTCAACATTAGGAAGACAATCAGTTTAATTAAAATATCTGCGTGATTTCTTCTTCTTCAGACAACACAACATTGAACACCCACTCAGACGAAGACAAGACAACCTGAAGCGTATGAACGATCATCCTGGAGGCAGGCTTCTTCAATTTCCAAGTGAGATTTGCCCAACAGTCAGATGAATATGCGAAGTAGTAAAGCCTTAAGGATGACGGACACTCGTATCAAAATTCGTTTGCGCAAAGTGTTGGAAAAACTACCTTTGTCAAATAGGTCTATGAAGATAATGCAAAATATGCGTGTGTTTGTGCGTCATTTAAGTGGTATATATATATATATATATATATATATATATATATATATATATATATATATATGTGTGTGTGTGTGTGTGTGTGTGTGTGTGTTTAAAGGATAGATTAAAATTCTTCCAACGAAAGAATGGTGTATATTTTAAAGAGAAAAGAGAAGCCGTCTTTGGTCATAATGTGGATTTATTTATTTTATTTTGTAAAAATTATACTTTATTTTACATAATTTTTGCTACATGGGTTTCAGGTGACCGTCATCCAGCAAGGAATGGTTATATCCACATATTATTTAAATGAATGATTTTTTTTCTTCTTTATATTTTTCTATGTTTAACCATTGAATTTTGTGTGTGATAGCAATCCTAATTCTTCTTTGATTGGTGGAGAAACTATTCCTCTGCTTAAAGGGTAACAAAACAATTATTTATTAAATAATTAAATGTATGCATGTGTGCTTTTTATTATGTGTACTTAGAAAAATATTATAAATTTGAACATTTTTCGTGACGCGTTTTATCCGTTAGGATTTTATAAGACTGGGCTTTGTTGATATTGCCACAAGACCTGAAACACGCGTAGCAAAAAATTTGGAAAATAAAATATAATATATATTTAAAAAAAATAATTAAATAAATAAATCCACATTATAACCAAAAACATTTGCGGCTTCTCTTATCAGATGATTAGCCATACTGATGAGCTGTGAAACAACGAAACAGTCTATCTGTGGATGACAATATATACATGCACCTGAAAAAAAAATTTTTGGTTGAGCTCTCGGGTAGATAAGTGAATTTGTAAACAGTGAGTATTACTGCTGCTGATGCAAGACTCTTCGTTAAGACGAATCGAGTTATCCAGTCTCTGGCGTGTTTATCAAAAAATACGTCTAAATTCAACTTCATCCCTGCCGTGCGCCAATGGCTTGAGAGTAGAATCTCCGACTGATATATATATATATATATATATATATATATATATATATATATATATATATATATATATATATATATAGAAGAAATATAGTTCGA